GTGGCGGCTAGCCTCCAAGTCAGCGTTGTGAAAGAAGGGTCCCATGACCCTATTGTCCACTTCAACGGTAAATTAACTGTTGGGACTACTAGAAATTATAGATATCATATGGTTGTATATGATAGCAGTGTGCCTAGTGGGGGCTTTGTTTTTTGAGGGTGCCTAATGGGGGCTTGGTGAGGGAAGATGGCTCTCTTGTGTCGTAATCTAGTAACTGTCCAGGGGCTACTCAAGACACCGTGTTTGCAGAAGACGAACAAATGATGCTCTATGTTTGTTTTCGTGATGCGGGTTATGAGATTGAGGATGAGGATATGACTAGCCTTGAGCCAGAGGATGAGGATGGTGACGAGATTGATCCTGACAAAGAGGAAGAGGAAAGCGAATGGGATGGAAGAGGAAGAGGAAGGCGATGAAGAAGATAGCGGAGGCGAAGGGGATGAGGAGGACCATAAGAATATTGTCACTCTCGAATACCCTACACCTGAGACTGTGTGGGAACACGGTTCCCCCAAACTGAAGGTGAAGGTCGATTAGACTGCCATCTTCGTCGCTGGAATACTATTTAACAAGATGGTATGCCCTTTCAAAAGGTTTTAAGTCGCCTAATTATTGATTTGGTGGGTTCTTGGAGTGAGACTGATTTTGTGTTTTGTTGGTTTCCTATATGTCTATTCTGTTGCTCCAAACTCTGATGTACTACACTATAAGTGTAGTGTAAAAAACGATCTTATATTATGGGACGGAGGGAGTAGTTGTTATTTACCAATCGCATATATTCTGACGCCCCCTTCCTGTACCACTGAGAAGGGGAATTCAGTTTATTTATATCCAGTCAACTAGAGTGAGTATGCTCTGTTACAATCATTCCAAGCAGTTGAAGTGCAACATGTTACAACCGACGAAGAATTAGGTCGACAATAATTCCTTGGTTGGAACTGTTTACATTTTATTGCCCAGCTAAGGGAGCACAGCTTGCAACTGTTGATCAGTCACTAACTATCGTATGGTACATACATTACATTCAAGAATGGATACAGTGCGATAAATGCAGCAGAATTGTAGCCTTATACTGGACAGTAATGCCAAGATGCTAGCCTAGCACGCGCATCCGCTCGTCTGTCCTTCGGTTTTAGGGCCTTGTTCTGCAACTGAATTGAAGTAGCTGGGGACAGAAAAGTAAACATGGTTAAGACACTAGTGAATTAAGTAACGGTAGTCCAGGCTTCCAGGCTCTGCATGCCCTCTAAGCTCTAGCCTGTAGGCCTTGAGATAACCTGACAAACTCACTGCATCTGGCAAACATCTTAAGATCGGTCGTGGGTTGAGTTTACTTACATGTCTTGATCGTGCTCATGCTCCAAGGCGAGCTTGGCGATGCACAGGAAAGCGGGGTCGACATTGTAGTCGTCCTTGGCCGAGGTTTCGAAGTACGGAATGTCGCCCTTGGAGACGCACCAGTCTTTTGCTTTCTTCTCAGGAACCTGTGCAGAGCACAACAGTACATAAATTGGAACTGCAGAGCACGGCAGTGAAGAAATTGAAATTGCAGAGCGCTAATTCAAGCAACTAACTGACCACTCGTCTGCTTCCAGCGTCCAGATCGACCTTGTTCCCGACCAAAATGAAGGGGAATTGCTTGGGGTCTGATGGGCCGGCCTGAAAGTGAAAATGGCAAAAAATGCTTCAAGCGATTACAATCTGTCGATGCCATAGACAGCTAACATTATACTATTGCAGTATACTGGGCATGATCACAATCTGTCGATGCCATAGAAAGGCAGACAGCTAACGTTGTACTATTGCAGTATACTGGGCATGATCACAATCTGTCGATGCCATAGAAAGGCAGACAGCTAACGTTGTACTATTGCAGTATACTGGGCATGATCACAATCTGTCGATGCCATAGACAGCTAACATTGTACTGTTGCAATACACTGTGCATGATCAACGATCCAAAGGACTAAACGACCACTGTTATTGTTTTGATTTACACTGAGAATTTGAAAGCAGAAGAGACTATTGTAAACATGCGCATTATGAATTTCTCGTTCTGACTAACTGATAGTGTAAACATGAGGTTCTGCTTGTCAGAACGGGCAAAAGACGAGAAAGCTACCTGGTTGATGAACTCGTCATGCCAGGTGCCAAGCGTGTTGAATGTTCTTTTGACATTGACGTCGTAGACTAGCACGCAGCAGTCGGCTCCCCTGTAGAAGGCCACGCCGAGGCTCTGGAACCTCTCCTGCCCTGCCGTATCCCAAATCTACACCAAAACAGGGCAGTGCACAGCAATGATTTTAACCACCAATGGCCCTCTTGCGCGTAATATAGATTCCAAGTCAATAAAGGAGCTAGGAGGCTGACGAACCTGCAAGGTGACGAGCCTGTCCTCGATGAGGACCTCCTTGGTGAGGAAGTCGGCGCCGATGGTCGCCTTGTACTGCTGGCTGAACTTCTTGTTCACATACCTGACGACCCATGTCAAGGGAAATGCAAGCAAACCACACCTCGCATTTGATCGAACATGTTGCGGGCATAGAGCAAACCCCGATATTGCGGCCACGGCAGACAGACGTGGGCAGCATTTTTTTAGGCTTAATAATAGTAATAAAGTGAACGAAGCATGATCACCAACCGAATCAACGCACAAGCACGGCAAGATATACTATCTACGGGCATCGGACATTGACCAAAACTGAAACTGAAGCTAGCAGAGCCAATGAGATGGATGAAAGTCAAACCGGCAGGCCGGACTGGATCAGAGCAAGCAACTCGGAAGGGAAGCACCCCCGCGCAAAGGTGCGTCTAGAAAAGATTTCAACAAGTGAAGCAGCATCGATGGATGATGCCGCGGGAAGGATACTGGTTCATCAGCGACGTCTTGCCGACCCTGCACGCAAAGCCAAATGATCCCAAGTCAAACAAAGTTAAAAAAGCACGCCCAAACCAAGGCCAGAAGAATCGCCGGCGAGGGGAAAAGATGTGGCTGGCTGGCTGGCTGACCCGCTGTCGCCGAGGACGATGACCTTGAGCAGCGTCCGCCTCCTCGGCGCCATCGCCATGGCCGGGCCGGGCAGCGGCGGACGGACGGATGCGCGCGGCGGGCGGGGCCGGTGGGCGATCGATCGGTCTGTCTCTCGCTCTCCTCCTGTCAGCTCCTCCTCCTCCCGCCCCTATCTACTCCACCACCAGTGCAGTTGTGTCACGGGGCGGTGCACGGGGAGCGAGGGAAAAGGCGCTGCGAGTTGAGACACTTCGGAGGGCGATCCATCCGGTCAGACTCTGACCGCCCGTCAGAGTATTAGCAAGTTTTTTTTTTTTTGAGAAAGGTCAGAGTATTAGCAAGTGGGGGGCGGTGGATGACCTGAGAAAACAAATGGGTCCAGAGAATCCAGCCCGCGGGCCACGACACAGACGACGTCCGAGGCTTAGCGGGCCTGGGCCGTGATGGAGCCCGGCCCAGACGCGACCCCTGCGTCTGCGTCTGCGTGCGGCAGTTTTCTTTTTTACGTTATTATTATCGGCTTATCGCCACGAGGAGCTGAGTCAGGCCGATGAGGTGGCCTGGCCTGTCGGTAGCGCGTGGAAAGCTGCGGTTTCCGTGATCCGCTCCCGAACGTGTCACCACCACGTTGGTGTGGCTCGCTCCTTCGCAGATCGTACCGACGGGGGGCAAGGAACAGTCGATGCGTCCAATGCGTTTGTCCAGGTTGTGATGACCATCTTGCCCTTCAAATGTCCTCTCAATTTTCCGGTGCCAATGAGTTCGTACGAATTTTGTTCGGTCCCTAAACAAACAGTCATGTGAAAATCTGTTCGCTTTTGCCCCCTCCAACTGCGAATATGCAACAAAGCCCCAAAACCGGGAGGACGGTGAGCTGCACATTTTACCAAATGGGTATTGCTGACCATAACGCAGATAAATTGCATGCAAATGTATAAAAAGGAGGAGGAAATCAAGGTTTCGAATGATCATTTTCAATGATGACCTAGCCAACAAGAAACATTGTAAGTTTGTAACATTTCTTCTAAATTTCTAATCTTCGTGGTTAAAACAAGCCCGCACACACTCTCTTCCCTAGCGTTGTCATTCTACTTGCATTTTCCCCTTACCACACATATGTGGAGCTATCTTTATTTTGGCAGTGTTTTGGGTTCACCATCACGAACAACACCATAGCAGTTCGTTGGCGCGACAGATCAGAATTCATGTCGAGTAGATGTCTTTTTGGGCAAGGGTTGACTATTCGTTTTTACATGTTCCAATGACTTGATTGTAGTGTAGAAAGACATGTTTGGTGGAACTTATGGTACGATGAGCTATTGCTCTTCCCATACCACAACATAATATCGGGGCAAGTTCCATTACTTATGGTACGATGAGCTGTTACTTATGGTACAATGAACTTATGGTACCAAGTTCCATTACTCCAAGTCGAAGAATAAAGAAACACAAGTCTGTGAAAAACACATAGGGCGCGGACAAAGTAGGATGAACCCATGAAAAATAATATCGGGCCAACATTTTTGACAGTCAAGAGTTGCCCTTGACAAATGCGGACAATTTCAGTAAAAAGACGTTTTGCGTTCCAAGTTCATGTGCACCTACATGAGCAGTAGAGATAGAACATCTAAGAACTAAAAACAGCCTGAATTTTTCTGCCAACATGCGTATTCGTATGTTCTAACTGTGTGAAAAAAGAAAACCAGGTTCTTTTGATTGTACAAAATTTTGAAGCTCAAGCTCCATTTGAAATATCCGATAATTTTGTGGCCTTTTTGCAGCTTGGAGTCTAATAAACCATATTTAAAACGGCTCCCCACAATCATACCCAAGTAGCACTACACTTTAATTTTCCCTTATAAAATCGACCACAGGGGCACAGACTGTAGTGAGCGAGCCGACGACGTCCCTCCATCCAAGTCGAACCACACCACACTGCCGCCGCGTCCCGTGCTCCCGGGTGAGATCGAGCGCGAGTAGCCAGCCGACGATGAGCCGCCTCGTTTCCCGGCGGCACCTCGCCGCCGCCACGGCCCTCCGACGATCCCCCGCCGCGTTCGCTTCCAGGTGACCCGCCTCCGCCTCTCACCCCTGCTCCGTTTCTTCTTCTTCTTTTGTCGCGATCCGGCTCCGTCCAAAGCTTATCATCACCGGTGGCGTGCGCGGGGGAAACAGACCGTGGAAATTTGACGCCGATTTCTCAACACGGGAGCTCGAATCGCCTGCTCCGTGACCGCGATTTCAGGCGCGATCTGGGCTGGTAGCTTTCAGGGCTGTGAGGGGGGCTGCGATTGATTTGCTACTGCTCGATTCTGCACTGACCGCGGACCATTTGGTTTGTGTTTTGGGCCGTTACTGACAGTTTTGCGCGATGCGCAGGTGGCTGCACACGCCGGCATTTGCGACGGTGTCCCCCGAGGAGATCTCTGGCTCAAGCCCCGCGGAAGTGCAGAATTTTGGTGAGATGGCCGGCATTTGGGGGATCTGCTTGTATGGGCTGCTTTAAATTGGTCCTGCTTGCTTGCTAGCTTTGTCATGGACACGCTTCAGAGCCGTCTCTGTCTAAGGGGTTACTGATTGCTGCTTGTGACGTTTAAGAGCGATGCATATGAATAGGGTTATTTTCACGGTGAAGGTGGGCAGAAATAATTTTACTCGAGAAGGAGCTTTCCATCGCTTCCGATTTGTGCCATCGGTATCAGACTTCATTCCTGTGAAGTTCCTGCTGGGCCAAATGGGCAAGATGTGTTTGGTCACTGTGGTGCTTTGTTTCTTAGGCTCGTTTTATGATTACTTGCTCACACCTAGTTCTGTACTGTTCTACTGTTGAGCATTCAGTACTGTACTACTGTTGAGCAAGTATGTTTAAAAGTACGGAACCTGAAATTGAATGGCCAGAACATGGAATCATTCATTCGGCTTCTTTGTAGTTTCATCTATGACCATCATGTTCCCCACCGAAGTGAAATATGCTATGTCACCACATCCATTGACGAAGTTAAATTCAGTGCAGGGAAAATGGATAAAGTCTGCTAACTGGAACTGGATAGTCGATCCTTTAAATGGCGAAAAGTTTATCAAAGTTGGTGAGGTTCAGGGGTCTGAAATAAAGGTATTGATGCTTTGGGGTGCTTCTCTTTTGATTTCCATTGTTACAGCGCTACGAGTGTAATTTAGTCGTATCAACTTTTGTCAACTTTTATCAGCTTAAAATACAAAGACTGACTTTTTGTTTATACTTTACTGGTATCGTCGTGTGTCTATTAGCTCCGAAGTGTGTTCTCAAACAATATGCAACATTTTTGTGGTGCAGCCATTTGTGGAGAGTTTATCTAAATGCCCAAAGCATGGACTTCACAACCCACTTAGAGCTCCAGAGAGGTATGTGTTATTTTCCTGTACCATGGATTCAAGTTGGTTAACGTATATCATAACAATACTTTTTTCGGCTGTCTGATGTTTTTGACCTCAATGTTTCAAAATTAACATAACTAGTTGGTTTCCTGTTGGGGAAATTTTATTTGACTGGTCCGCTTATCTGATTGTCAACCTTTTAATCTACTCCCTCCGTTCCAAAATAGTACAAAGTTGGGTCATCTATTTTGGAACGGAGGGAGTATAAATGAAATCACAATTTACAAAGGTTTTCCTCACCATTTAGTATTTGGTCACTGAAGTTTTTACCCTACAAACCTATGTATGCATGTTAATTACGGCATTATAATTTATGCTCATTCATCGCCAGACAGCACCTCCTAAAAAGTATTCTTTAGCTACTTTATACTCCCCCTGACAACATTATTGCCAGTATTCTGTAGCTACTTTATTCTCTTCACTTCTCTGTCTCTATGATGCATCTTGCCATTATTTTTACCGTAAATGCTTTTAACAACTATTTGAAAGTATGAATTACAAAAGTTATACACATTACTTTTCATGTCACATATCTAAATATTTTGTAAAATACAAATGACCAGATATCAAAAGGTTCAACCATGCTTCCAGCAGTAGCATGTTTTTGTGACTTGAAAGTGTAGTCAGCAAACATGGTATATGAACAAACCCATATGCCCTGTATAAAATTGTGCTGATAATAGTAGTGTCTGGTTCTATCAGCATTTGTACCTTGCTGAATTTTGGAACCTCCAATATGCAGGTATCTCATGTATGGAGATATATCTACAAAAGCTGCACACATGCTTGGTCAACCTGAGGTATGCCATCTTGAAACAAAGATGATGCGACTTTCTTCTACTCAGATCTTCTTTTAAACGACTCTACACGTGCATGGGCCAATTTGCCATGTGATTCACATTTATTAATGCAAATAGGGGCATCCCCTCCGGACTTTGCGACCCCTTCATAGAGGAGAGAAGAGCGATAGCACCTTTTTTTCTCATCTAATTCCCCACTCATTATTGTCACCGGTGATTGACAGGTCTTAGATTTCTTTGCTAAGCTTGTTCAAAGGGTTTCTCCGAAGAGCTATCAACAAGCTCTTTTGGAAGTTCAAGTTTCTCAAAAATTCTTGGAGAACTTCTGTGGAGATCAGGTACGTGCAGATCATTTTCTTCATTTCCCTGTTCAGTTGTTCACAAGTGATGGTACAGTTTTATATGAATGCGTGCATGTTTAGCAACGAGCTGTCATTATGCCCCGGTCTGCAGATTGAAATGAACACCCAATAATAATACTTTCTACTTTAATACTCTCTCTGGCTAATATAACAGGTGCGCTTTCTGGCTCGGTCATTTGCTGTACCTGGAAATCATGTTGGACAAATGAGTAATGGCTATCGTTGGCCATTTGGCCCAGTAAGTACTCAAAACTTCTTTGGTAGACAAAATGCTGTATTTGAGATTTGTTGCTCCTTTTGGTCCTTCCACTGCATATCAGCACTTCTAAAGAATTGGTACGGTCTAATTGGATTCCTGGTACTCGATTTATAAGCTATTGGGCACATGAATTCAATTGTGTGCAAAAGTGAGTTGTATCTGATACACTAGGCAAAATAATTGCTTAACATGGCCTGCTAGTGTTTTTTCTTTTCCTTAACATATTATTTGTTGAATGCACTGCAATGGTGAAGCTGTTAGACAAAGATCAGGTTCCATCCTTAATCTAATTATTTGGTAATAATAGAGTTAGACCCATTGGAACTACAAAGGAACTTTCATGTGGATGTAAAAACATTTGGCTTGATAAACTTTGAATTTTTTATGAACTCTTTAGCATGTCTTACATTCTTTTGAGAGTGAACTGAAGTACACTTTGATGGTTTAATTTCTTTTTAGTTGCTTCAAATGGTTATTCCAGTAACTGAATGTTAAGCTTTTGATGCACCATGAGTTATTTTCATTACCTGTGACATGTTAGGTCTAATATAATTTTAACTTTGAGCAGGTTGCAATAATCACACCATTCAATTTCCCATTGGAGATTCCCTTACTGCAACTGATGGGTGCACTTTATATGGGAAATAAACCAGTCCTCAAAGTTGACAGCAAAGTTAGCATTGTGATGGAACAAATGATCAGGTTGCTTCATGAGTGTGGGTTGCCTGCAGAGGACGTGGACTTCATAAATTCTGATGGTATCACAATGAACAAGCTGCTGTTGGAGGTTTGACTTCTATTTTATGACTTTGGGAGAACGTTTCCTGTAGCTTTGGAAAGGAATAGGTGCTGTAGTAAGATGATATAACTAGTTAATCAATCTGTGACAAGCCAATTCCATGTTTGGACATATACATGTAGAATCCTTTTCATCATGTTAGTGATAAGCAGCAGTGTGTGGTTCCGCCATTCTTTTAGTTTACTGAATGTGGTACAACATGTTCAAGGGTTCAACAACAGAGATTGTTTGGAATTCAAAAAATAACAATATGCGTCCACTAGCTTTTTTATTCTGAGCTAGAACTAGCTATTGACCAAGTGGGCTAGCACTACTGTCTTATATGCAGCACATATTTCATGGTTGGATTTATTCTTCACATGATCTTTTGTAGGCAAATCCAAAAATGACCCTCTTCACTGGGAGCTCACGTGTGGCAGAGAAATTGGCTGCAGATTTGCAAGGCCGAATCAAGTTAGAAGATGCTGGTTTTGATTGGAAAATTCTTGGTCCAGATGTTCAAGAGGTCTGAAGTCAGTTCTGTTTTATCCTTAACGTCAATATATTCATAATAACATTGTATATTCATAGTTCAGTGTCATGCATTTACCAAGCCGAAGATGATTTGACTTACTTTTATGATATGATGCCCAAACAGGTTGATTATATTTCATGGGTTTGCGACCAGGATGCTTACGCTTGCAGCGGTCAGAAGTGCTCTGCTCAGTCTATGCTATTCATGCACAAGGTAAAGACCAAAGAATGATATCACCAGTGCACAATTTTCCTTCCTGGGTTTGTTAGTGAATTATGCGCCCAGTTGATATCTTTATGAACACTGGTTCAAGTTCAACCGTCTCTTGTCATAGTGATTTTTGTTATTTTAAGATAATAAGTAAAATGCTCCAGAGAAAGAAAAAAGAAGTGAATGACTCTTTATGAACTTTGGGAGCTTGTTACAACATTGCGCTTCTCTGTCAACAGACACAACAATAGCGTGTTTAATAGTTTTCTTCTAATTGCAGAACTGGTCATCTAGTGGGCTACTTGAGAAAATGAAGAAACTTTCTGAAAGAAGGAAGCTTGAAGATTTGACGATTGGTCCAGTCCTTACTGTGAGTGACCATCTTTAACCACATTCTGTTCTTTTGTAACTTTCTCTTCATGGTGTAGGATTTGGCAGCAGCTAGTTGTTAAAATGCTGAAGTGAGTAATAAATCAGAACCAATTAACAATAATTGTTTCCCAATACTTTGGTTGCTGTGACAATCCAAGCATCAAGTAGTAGTGTATAAAAGAAGAGAACTGAATTTACGTAAGAAAATAAAAGAAAACTGAAGGAACTTGTCCTTGCACAGTACAATGCATATGAGAGAAAGAACACTTAGTCCACATTTAACACCATTTTTTAGAACTGTTGGTGTGGTTGCACAACTAGATGGGCAGTATAGGCAGTTTCAGGTAGGAATGCGAGTGCTCACTCTATTGATCCAACTCTCCTCGCCAATGACTCATTTCCAACATAATTGGCTGCCCACCTGGTATACATGTCATTGCATTATTTTTCAAGCAAATAGACTTGGATGCATCGATGGGTCCGACTGACCAATTCACTTGCATAGCGGCTTCAAGTTTCACCGTAGAATTAATTTTATCTTCATTTTCTGCTTATGCAGGTTACAACAGCAACCATGATAGAGCACATGAACAACCTTCTCAAAATACCAGGATCAGAGGTTCTGTTCGGTGGTGAACCTTTGGAGAATCACTCCATCCCAGAAATATATGGTGCTTTCAAACCGACTGCTGTATTTGTCCCACTAGTGGAGATCCTTAAAAATGGTAACTTCGAGCTTGTGACAAAGGAGATATTTGGTCCTTTCCAGGTAATACATTCAGACGTTGAGGCTTTCTTTCACATGCTACTGTACAACATGTTGATGATGTTGACTGATTTTCCTATGATGTTAGTGTTACTGACCCCCTCCATAAGCGTATGTATCAGATGGGCCCATGTTTACGGCCTTATTATGGCCTGGCTGAAGAATAATTTTCTTGGCTATGGAATATACTAATATTTATCTCCACTTGATGCTTAGGTCCATGTTATATTTCAGATTCGTATAGCAAATGAAAACTAGTTTTACTCACCCTTACTGAATTTGCTAACTTGGAAGATAGCTACGGCCTAAGGTTTCCATGGCCTATCTTGTATTCTAGAATACATTAAGTTGGTTTAACTTGTATTTCTTTGACAGTTTCTTTAAGTAATATACTTACCTACTGCGAGTGCATATTTCAGGTGGTTACAGAATACTCTGAGGAACAGCTTGATTTAGTATTAGAAGCCTGCGAAAGGATGAATGCGCATCTGACAGCTGCAGTAGTTTCAAACGACAAATTGTTCCTGCAGGCAAGTTCGCTCATCTCTTTCAGTGTTGAAATTTATATCCATTTGGCTGCTTTATTATCCTCGAAGTCTTCATTTTTTGCACCAAGAGTCCGATAAAGTTGTGGTTTTAGAAGTTATTTACATTATTATCCTCAAGTCTCTTTACATCAGTAGCTGAACATTCCACAGCTTGGTGAATGATTCGCTCTTATCATCTCGCTTTTCAGGAAGTACTCGGTAGATCGGTTAACGGGACAACGTATGCTGGAATTCGAGCAAGGACCACCGGCGCTCCGCAGAACCACTGGTGAGCCAAGCCCCGTTGCCCATACCAGTAATCATCGGTGAATGCTGTTGAAAATGAATGATCTGACATTTTCCTCGACATGATTCAGGTTTGGTCCTGCCGGTGACCCGAGAGGCGCGGGGATCGGCACTCCAGAAGCCATCAAACTCGTCTGGTCTTGCCACAGGGAGATCATATATGACATTGGTCCCTTGCCCAAGAAGTGGGCACTTCCTGCGGCTACATGATATGCCTAAGCTAGGACAACTAGCTAGAAGAACACGACGGCGATGGAGAGAAAGCAACACGGACAGAATTAGCTGGTTGAGAACTGACATTGTGTTGAATAATGGAAGCCTCGTGTAGGCAATTGGGAGAGTCTCGACCCCCTAGGAACACAATAAAGGTCATAATTATGAATGGAAGTACTACGATGGTTGTCAATGGAGCTTTAGATGTTGCTCTAGTAAAAGAATTAAATTATGCAACATCTTCTATGGTTCGTCATCTCACAGGTCAGCTCTCAGCTGGTCCGTCATGCTTGAGATGCAGGCAAGGTGTTTGTCATAAGAGCACTGCTACAAGTAGTTTCGTTGTCATAATGCCCAAGAGAGAGAGGTGTGGGACACGAGAAAAAAGAGGGGGTAAATGAAGTCAACGTGCCCGACATTTTTTGCCAGGTCAGCCCTGACGTGTGGGCCTGACTAGTGAAAACGGGCTTGAAACTATGCAATATATAATCAGTGTTTTTTCTGCTAAATATACCCCCAAACCAGTAGGTTTTACCAGCAAAAATAAAATTGTTGTTTTGTTTAACTCTAACGCCAATTGTGGTGTGTTTTTCTTTGCTATTTATTCCCCTCAGAGCTCCAGATCTGGAGAATCCGAAGCTCGTTCATCTAGAACTCACCTTCTACCACCATAGTATCAAAGTGGGGAAGGAGAGAAACGACTAGCTAGCTAGATCTGGACGACTACCAAGCATATTGACAGAGCTTGTGCCACATCCACGGCCAACAATCGACTTCCATTGTGGAAGACAGTAGGAGGATGAAAAGGTCGACCACTGCTTGCCTTCTCCGGTGAGGAGCTCCCTAGTTGCGATGAAAAGGTCGGCCACCGCTTGCCTTCTCTGATGAGGAGCTCCCTAGTTGCACGAGGCCAGACACCAGCAACCACAAACCTATTGAAACCTACTATATACAAGAGCAACCTGAGCTCCCTCCCATCCTCACTCTGGACGGCAGTATCATCGAAGGAGGAGAGGAGAGCAGGGGAAAACATTTGCGAATCTCACCGGCAGAGGGGGACAGAGAAACATGAAGAAGAAAATGTTAGCCCCTATGGATTATTTGGTTTGCAATATTCTAAAAACATAAACATAGGAAGCCGTGAGAATATGGTAGGAATGCATGCCTGAAATAGATGATTGGAAATCCCATAAACCCCATAATAGATGTTTGAAATCACATAAATAGATGATTGAAATAGGCTTTGGTTCACAGGGGCAAGAAAAACAAGAACCCCAATAAACACGTCATATCAAAGTCAAATCACATGAAATATATATAATCAGCATGTTATTGTACCGCTAAGGATTTAAATCTGGTTATTCACCCATAGGAATTTGAAAAGGGCAGTGGGCTGTATTATTCCAACCTTTTTCCTTTGAAATTAAGATCAAAGGATTTTTTTTCTCCATTTTCTCTTAGCCCCATTCCTTTGAACCAAACAATATCGTCATCATAGGAAAATGTCCTATTGCTATGTTTCCCCCCACTTCTCCTTTGAGCCAAAGAACCCCTTAGACCCATATGTGCGCTTAATGCCACTTCTAAATCTCCAACTAAATGGACAGAAATAGGAGATTGTGCCGAAAGCATCATTGACTAGGAAGGGGATACAATACAAGGCTGTCTTTCATGCTCTTCAAGAAAAGCCTCCTTCTTTCTCCCGTCGGCACCACCAACAATCCGCCCCACCTTCGATGGCATTTGGGCCGTGGAGGTGCGGAGGATCACAGCCCCCCGCCGGTGTGAGGGACCCCGTTCTTGTTTGTTAGGTTCAACGTCTTGGTTGCGGCTGTGTGGCGGTGGTGATGTCCTTCAGTAAGAATAATGTCCCTCACGTTCGATCCCCATCCCATGATCGGAGGAAATGTGGAGGTGTGTCTCCGTCGGATCTCACAGGATTCGGTCGGTGTCGGTCTTCGTTTAGATCTATTTGAATCCAGTTTTTTCGTTTTCATTTATGTGGCTACAGGTTTGGTCTTTTCGATCTATAACTCTCTTCATTGGTGATGGTTACTGTTTTGATGCGCTGATTCTTTGAGACCACGACGACTTTTCAACTATCTACTACAACCAGATTTGTCCGGCTCCGACGAGGGAGGGCTTTTTTTTGAGCAACTGCATCCTTTATTAAACGTTCAAACACATGGGGATACAGATGATATCGGGCAAAATACTAAGCCACACATGGCGCCCGGGGCTAAGAGAGGCAGGTGCCTTTGCTAAAGCATGTGCTTCTCTGTTATGCTTCCTATTCTCATGAAGAAACTTTACATCTTGGAAATGACTCCTCTTGTGCTTGATATCTTGTAAGATAGAAAAGTATCGGCAAAGAACTTCGTCTTGTATGTTCAGCACTACCTCCAAGCAGTCCGAGGCCACACATATGGATTGAACCTGCAAATCCGAGGCGAGAGAGAGGGCCTCGCAACATGCCTGTGCTTCAAGTATAGTTGGGTCGAGGCGGCCTTCATAGATGATGGTCGAGGCGCCCAAGTAGTTTCCTCGTTTGTCCCTGCAGATCACTGCTGCAGCTGCGCGTCTCCAATCTTCGAAAAGCCTGCATCAACATTCATTTTAACATCATGGTGCTCAGGCGGGAGCCATGTATGCGACGGCGGATTCCCCCGGCTACTACTGGTCACATGCAGGTCCCTGGAGATCACATGCAGGTCCCCTGAATTTACATGTAGGTCCTTGGGACGTGGTTTCTTGTCCGGTATCATCTCGAGCTCCGCCAGAAACTTTTCAACGAAAATATGGGTACTTAGTGGGCTCTGGTACTGATCTTCATGGATGGCACGGCGTCTCGCCCACCATATGGCCCACATTGTCACCAATACCCGTGCTAGGTCGGCCGAAGGTAGGGTATCAACCAACCATAGCATCCAAAGCTTGGCATCCTTCTCCCTGTTTGATATGATTGTTTCCGTCAAATCCTCGTCAGTGAGGGCCCAGACGCAGCGAGCCATGCGGCAGTCAAAGAGGGAATGACGCCATGTATCGACCGCCGCGTGACAGATAGTGCACTCCCTGAGTCAGCCATACTTCGGTGTTTTCGGACCTCTCCGGTTGGGATCGAGCTCTGGGCCAACCTCCAGGTGAAGACACGTACTTTAGAGAGAACTGCGGCACCCCATAGTCTAGACCAGGACCGGCGATCTGCATCGGCCCGCGAGTGCCCTTCGGTGTGTTCAAGCCAATCAGTGCGCTGCCGCTGTGCTTGAAACGCACCTCTATGCTATGGACAAGGAAGCAATCCTCAACATTCCTCTCAGCTCCCGAGTCCAAGACGATTTCTGGGCTTGGCATTATGAACGCAAGGGCGTTTTCACGGTGAGGTCGGCATATTAAACTCCTGTCCTCTACGAGGGACGGCTTAGAGGCATCAAAGCGTATACTGGGCCGCCATCGCCCTTTTACTCCCTGGGCCATGTTGCTATACATTATACATAGCGCAAGTCCGACCCGAACTGGGAACGTAAAGCCCACCCAAAGTGTATTATATATACGCAGGTCAGGATCATCAAGGCAGGTGCTGAACCAATTGGATCATGGCGCTCCGATTAGTTTTGGCACGTGCTCTCCTCCAGCCAGCGGCGTGGGCACCCGCACCCGCCGCCGCGGCGGCGATCGCGGCCGTGCTTTCGCGCCGCCTCTTCAGCAACACCACCCGTGGTGGCGGCCGCGGCCGCGGCGCACACGTCGATAAGCGCATCGAAAGGACCAAGGAGGAGCTGCTCGAGCTCTACAAGGGGAAGACCCCCGCGCCCGCGGCGGAGGAGGTGGCGGCCGACCTCACCGGCGTGCTCCGGCGGTTCGAGGCCGCCAAGTCGACGCCGGGCCAGGAGCAGCACGGGTCGAAAACGTTCGTCGGAGATTCGTTCGCCGGAGATTCGTTCGTCGGGGATTCGTTCGTCGGGGAGCCGTTCGCCGGAGAGCACTTCGACACGGAGCCCTACGAGGCCGACGGGTCCGTCGACGGGTACTCCTTCTCGGGGGGCACGTACGAGGGGGACTCCCACTCGGGAGACATATACACGCCTTGGGTGGGCCGGGAGACCCGTCGCGGCGGCGACTGACACGGCCGGCGATCGTCCGGCGATGTAAGGTTGATTGTTCTTTGCGAGGTTGGTAGCGTCATAATCCGAGCGTGAATCCATCATATCAGGGGAACATCGATCTGTTCATGTCGCTTCAGTTTGTATCACTGAGTTACATGGACCATGATTTTTGATTGTGGGCTGTTGCACATCTAAGTGAATGAATCAAGTATAAATAGAAAAAGAAAATGTTCACACGAATCTCCGTATAAGAGCAATGACATAAGACTCAGATGTGCAATACTTATGACACATCTGGATGTGATTTAACAAAACTGTTTTTGAATTTGTTATATACCTTCCATTATTGACGACTTTGTTAACATATGTGGTGGTGATTGTTTTTCTGTTAAATATTTCTTTCCTTTTTGTTTGTTTCTTGGGCCAACAGGGTTGACGCATCATTCGATGAACTTGTTATTGTCTTTTTGGAACACACAAGCACTCATACCATATGTTGTGATAACCAGTACAATATGTCGTCGCCTCCAGATCATCCACCATCAGAAACATAGGTTACATTAACATCCTTCGACTTTGAATCCTGCTTTTCCTCCCAAAACCCCTAGAGAAAAACTATCCACCACAAGAAGTGGAGACCGGAAACAACAACTGAACACGTTGTGATCGCAGTTATCGAAGTGCTACTTTATAAGAGCACAAAGACATGAAACTAGAGAACCATACAGGCATACACCATTGTGCCCCTCCCTGTGTTTTTTTTTTTTTGCAAGAACCCTCCCTGGTTGTTGATTGTCCTACTTGACACTTTGATAAGTCTGGTATGTATACCACTAAATCCTTCGATGATACGCCAATTGTGTGTGCGAGGGGTGTTAAATCCTAGTGGAAAGCCCATGTTCCCCTAAAAATTCATGTGGTTGTTACCTACTAGCAGGGCCTTTACTTGTGACAATCTGCTGAAGAGTATGTCGCTGGATGACCTTACTTGCCCCTTATGTGCAGAAAAGGAATATATTCAACTTTTTTTTTGATTGAGTAATAGCATCACATTTTTTTCTATTTTCTGAATGATTCGATTAACCAACCTCTCAATCGATGGACAAAAAATTTGGAACTTAATAATGAATTTGAAGATCTCATTCTTCTTTCATGGGACGAAGATGGGGCAACATAAGATGTCTTTTTGCAGAGGTGGATGCTCTACTGCAACAATGGAAAGTGCTGCAAAGCGATCCGCAATCGGCACTACTGCTACGCTGATGGCGCTTCTTGGATTATCAGCATGGAGAAATTCTCTAAAAAAAGAATCTAAAGTGCTCGACTCTCCTGACGGATGGCGCGAACGAAGATCAGTGACGCATCCTGACAAAATGCACCAACTAGTTCCAGTCCTGAACATCTTGTTCATTAGGTTGTATCTGAAGTGGGCAAAAACCCATTTGTTTGGATAGTCTAGTTACCGCGAGCACCTTGGACTCTATTCTCCTGGTTTCATTCTGTGAAATGGAACAAGGAGCCTACTCTGGGGCTCCTATTTCTCCAAAAATGAAGAAAAACCATAAACCAAAAAAGGCATGCTACCAACAATATAAGACATGCCAAAGCACCGAGCGACAAACTATCAGATTGATCTGTGAGGGTAAATTAACACCACTGCCTCCTTGGTGCTAGCCAGGAGTACCTAATCCATGTTCAGATGCTCGGGCGTTGTTGTCATCCGTTCTGATGCAGAGGCCGGAGGTCTTCCTCCTTTTCAAAAAAAAAAAAACTCTCCATCACTTGGGCGTAAGAACATCCCATGCTCTGGTGCCAGCCACAAATTAAATTCTCCGAAATTCTTCAAAGGGGAGAGGATATGTTAATTTTCATCACAGATAAAGTAATTATAAATCACAAAAAGACAAGAGTCATAGTATTACTTCATCAAGAACACTACTGTCGCTTCTGCTGAGAACGATAATCGTAGTGCTCTTGTCCTCGCAGAGGGCTCTCAAAGGACCATTCAAGTCTGTTGAACTGAAACCCTATTCTCAGTCATAGCTAGGTGCAACAAACAGAAAATGTAAGGTCGTGTTGTTTGAGTATTAAGGGCCTGTTCGGCAATCCACCACTCCGAGAAATACGAGAATCTGCGGAGCATCTGTTTCTCCACTCCGTATTTTCAACTGAAGCTCGGGCCACTCCGGGAGCGGAGTCGTGCGGAGTGGCGAGACTCCGAACAGGCCCTAAGTTCATTGTACTATGAAGGAGCTGTACATATTTGCAGATGACATTCATTTAGTTTAAAAGTGCAAGGAAAAATAAATGAACTACATGTGGAGAAGTTACTGCAGAAGCCACTGGATGGTGCCAACACCTCCAGAATAGCATCAGGATGCATGCTCCGGTCTGCTCGTGCACACCACTCAGCAATGGTTGCGGCCATGCTTCACCGGTGTATGTGAGCTCCTGTTTAATTGACAAGGGTAGTGGTACATTTGTTTTGTATGTCCCTCTGGCTGTGTGTTCTCTTGCCATATGGCAGGGTCCGTGTGCAAAGAAAATTTCGTCTCCTGCCATGGCAGCTAGTCTGCTGTCCGTTGTTTTCTTTTTCGTGAATTTTACCATCTTGCATGTGAAGTTGATAGCACGTAACAGCCATATAATCGTATAAATCGTTAAGAGAGGCGGCTAAGGCACAACGGTTTCGTGGTGTAGTTGGTTATCACGTCAGTCTAACACACTGAAGGTCTCCGGTTCGAACCCGGGCGAAGCCATTATGTTTTTATTCTTCTGAATTTTTACCAACCCCTCGCTCTGTTTTTCAGCTAGTCTAGGGGGCATAGCAGAGAAGAAAAAGGGAGAAAAACAAAGTTCAGATTTGCTCGTGTCATCTGCAGATCAGATGCATGTGACGACCCAAGTTGCCATAGAGCATTTTTCATCACCACTTTGCACGGGCTGGGGGTTACAGAGGATCGAACTCTCGACCTCAGGATCACCCGCCTACGCGCTAGCAAACTGCGCCACAATCCTGTTCTTGTTTGATCAACCATACTAACCAACAAGTCTTATTCGAGATGTCCTACTCCCGCCAAAAACATCATCGCAAACCCTGTTTTTTCACTTTTCACTAATGTGTACTGAAGGTTTTGCTGCAGTTTGTTGGGGTCAGCTCCGTCCCTGCTGGACTGGACGGTGTGTGTCACGACACGGACGTGCTCGTACGGCGCAGCCGGCCTCCCGGCCGCGCGCGGGCAACCCGAGAGCGCGCGCCGAGCATGTCCCTGTCCCTGTCGGTGCGTCGGCGCCACGGCCGACGTCACGGTCGATCGAGCCACGACGAACGCCCCAAGCCCTCGCAGTCGCAGGGCTGGTTGTTGAGAAGCCGAGAGCAGGTTTTCACCCGAAAGAAAACGAGGGATCGTCTCTTTCGCAGGGTGAAGCGCACGAGACATGTCACCCACCCCGCGAGCAGAGCACGAGACAAGGGCGGCGCACGGGTTTCTCAGCTGGCCTGCCGCTATTTCGTCCCAGCCCCAAGTCCAAGGCCCCGTTTTGGTCCGGGCTCGTGCGAACGCGACGCTCTGCTCCTCCGAGCTCTCCCTAGTTGGCCACGCAGACATATGCTCTCCGCTCCCGTCATGTACTGTATAATATAACAAGGAAACACATGCCGCCGTCGCCAAGAAACTCGGCCGAGTTCCGCCACCGGACAGAGGATCCGTGGCTGCATGCGCTTAAAATCGATGTTCCCGAACTAAATCCGCATCGTAAAGACAGACGCGGGAGCCACGGAACCATCAATCGCCTTGTCTCCTTCTCCTCCCTAGCTGCCGCCCCGGACAAGATCTGTCGCCAGCATATAAGCGCGCCCGCCCGCGGACACCTGCACGCAGCAGCTCGTCTCCTCACCTGGCTATCGCACAAGCACAAGTGCACCATTGCCCTCCGTCCTCGGCCTACTTTCGTTGGGTTTCCTTGGTTCGATCGATCGCATTCACATCTGTTGGAGAGAGGGAAGAAGAGGTAGCCATGGACAGCATCCTGATGGTCAAGAGCGAGATCGAGAGCTACGCGGGGCAGCCCGCGGTGCTGGGTGGCGGCGGCGGCGGCGAGGTCGTGGTCAGGAGGAGGAGGAGGGAGCCCACGCTCGGGCCGGTCGGCGGCGGCATCGGCAAGGCGTCCCTGCCCGGCGTCGCCGTCAAGAGGAGCTCCCGGTTCCGTGGGGTGAGCAGGTCGGTGTGTGTACTTATATTCAAAGATCAGCTCCGATGTTTGCATATGCATGCCACGATTGATTTGATGTTGTGATGGTAACTGACTCTGTGATCGATGCATGTATGCAGGCATCGGTGGACGGGCCGCTACGAGGCGCACCTGTGGGACAAGAACTCGTGGAACCCCACGCAGAGGAAGAAGGGCAAGCAGGGTAGGTTCCGTGGCAGTGCCACAACAGAGCGATGCTACAGTGTATGTATACCTATGTTGTCAGATGACTAACGCTGGAAATATGTATACTACAGTGTATCTTGGAGCGTACGACGAGGAGGAGGCAGCGGCGAGGGCCTACGACCTGGCTGCTCTCAAGTACTGGGGCGCCACCACCTACACCAACTTCCCGGTCATGGACTACGACAAGGAGCTCAAGATCATGGAGACCCTCACCAAGGAGGAGTACCTGGCGTCGCTAAGGAGGTGGCACATGTCAACTCCAAAACCCTGCCATATCACATGTGTTTCTAATCTCCTCTTACGTGCACCTAGCTAACTCTGAGATTTCCAACCTGATTCCTCCAGGAAGAGCAGCGGCTTCTCCAGAGGCGTGTCCAAGTACCGCGGCGTCGCCAGGCACCACCAGAACGGACGATGGGAGGCGAGGATCGGGCGCGTCTTCGGGAACAAGTACCTCTACCTCGGCACCTACGGCACGCAGGAGGAGGCGGCGCGCGCCTACGACATCGCGGCCATCGAGTACAAGGGCGTCAACGCCGTCACCAACTTCGACCTCAGGTCCTACATCACGTGGCTCAAGC